GGATGTTCACCAATCGTTCGGCTCAGAACGACTCTACTACGAATCTTAACCACATGGGTAGTTCTCCAAATTAGGGTCCCTTTGGAGGTTCCTTAAAAGGATCCGAAAGGGTTTCTATAGGGCTTCTATACGGGCACTTTAGGGGTTTCTACTTGGGTAGTTCTCTAAATTAGGGTTCTTTTTGTGCGGTCCTTTTTACAAGGGTGCCGTACTAAATTAGACCGAAAAGGGGACCCTAGTTTAGAACACTACCCAAGTAATATAGGGCCCGGAATAATTACCAATACTATTCCGGGTAGGATGCGCCCCTCGGGGCCCTTGAAGCCCAATCAGAAGAAGAATACAATTGCGAGGATTCCTCACTGTAGTTGTAGTATAACCTACCCCAAAACCCTATTCTGCCACCATAAACCAAAAACCCCAAAACCTTGTTCTAATTCTAATCCCCCTTCGTTAGGGCCGGTCTTAGCGATACTCCCTCAGGCTCCATGTGCCCATTATAGTAGATACTTAGGCCTTCAAGTACCGAATATAGTGACCCCTTTGAGGCCTAAGAATCTACTGTTCAGGTACATGGCGCCTTTGGGACTGTTACCTAGAGTTCCTTATTGATTACCTGGACCCCAACAGTATGTAGAATAATAGCCTTTTTATGGGTTTTGGGCCATTATTTTACCTACTTTTGGGGGTTTAGGTATAACTTATAACTTTACCTTATAATACATAGTCTAGAATTTTCCCCAAAGCCTTTTCTAGTTATTTAGGCCCCTGTAGCATTGAGGATTTTGGGCTTTGGGAGGCTAGCTTCATCCTTGAATACCCTTAACCCTAAACCCTAAGCCGTATTGCACGCATCTCAGTCTTCAGAGTTTCCGCGCTTCAACGAGGCATAGAGGGTAAGCACTTGATCACAAAAGCTCGAGTCCCCATTCCTTGAAGCCACAAACGCGTGAAAGCTCAACTCTAGCAGCCAACTTCGGCCTGACTGGTTTTGAATCTTCGAAAGAATGCTCTCGAAGGGTTCGATAGACCCCGACGTCGAAGAATTATCATGCGGCGCTTGGCTCGCCATTGCTCTGGCTATGAAACTCAAAGAGGGGTCCCGTTTCTGAGGGTCGTGACCTCAGTTTGCGGAATAATTCCCGTTATGCTCCGGCTGTTGGAGAGTCTCTGTCAAAGGTCCCAAGGTTCCACAACCGAAGCCTTAAAAACCCTAAACCCTAAACCCTAAACCCAAACCCGGAACAGCAAAGAGAAGAGGCACTGCAACGACGACGGCCACAGCCAGCACGTCCGAACCACCGGCCACTACGACAGCGTCGGCGGCCTGTGTGGGAGCCTGGCAGCAGTGTCTCTTGACTGGAGCCATGGGATGCACACAGAAAGTCTTGTGGGCAATCCTCCCGAGCCCTTGAATCAAACCCCAAGCCCTGGAAACACATGTTCGATGGGAGATTGCAAAGATTTTTTGGTATGTCCCCTCATAAACTCCACTTATGCCAACTTGTCCCAAGAAACTCCCGCAACATCCTGTTCCAATGAAGCTCCCCGAGCAGCTACTCTCAGGGTTAAGGGGGTTGAGGGTTTAGGGTTTGGGTTTAGGGTTTGGGGGTTTAGGGTTTAGGTTTTACGGTTTAGGGTTTAGGGTTAAGGGGGCATCGTAAGCTTCGCCGTTCTCCTGTGGAAGGTGGCGGGCGAAATCATGCCGGGGCAACTTGCTGCGTGGAGGACTGCCGATGTTGCTTCAGTAGCCGTGCCGCTAGCTATTTACGTCGAACTTCTCTGTCGTGTTGTTCCCGTCTTCTTTAAGCTGTTTTCCCCTGCTACGGGCTTCAAGCGCTTCATCGTTATTGAATTTCAGCGGTATTCTAGCATTTCACGCATCGCCTACTCCGTGGAGTTGTTTTTTGCTTGTCCTTCGGTTCTACCTACACTCATCACCTTGCTGTCATTGCTTCCATCATCTTCTTCATGCATGCTGCTCCTCGGAGGGATATCCCTAAACTCTAAACCCTGCTCCTCGAAGGGATATCTCTGCGTCGTGGACAACGAGTGGTATTCGCAGTGCTCCTGGGTCTTCACACGTTCCTACCTGGAGGATCGGGTCACATAGTAATAATAATAGTAGTAATAATAATCGTAGTAATTATAGTAATAGTAATAATACTAATAATAGTGATAATATTATAATATTCAGAGTAGGTACGAGCCAGTAACAGTATTGAGAATCGCGCAATCATGCTAACAGCTCGCCGTGGACACGTAGAGCACATAATATCTTCAGATGAGCCCTGAGTCCCTCTAGGCGGTCAGTCACAACACCCCGAACCAGCTGAATCCGCACTTCAAGCCTTGTAGACCTAACAACGCTCCGGAGCGCTATACCAAGAATCTGTAGACAAAAATGGGGCGTAGGGCGATAGGAAACACCTTAACCCCAAATAGCCTGCCTTTTTGAAAGGACTTATATAACGAAATCATGATAAGGAACCCTACAAAGGTAGGCTCTTTAGGGTCCAGGCAGAGGAAATGGAAGCCTCCGGAAATTAGGGTACATCATTCTAGCGGCCTTATACTAAGGATCTCACTTTTTGGGGTACTATATTGGGGTCCCCTATTTTCGGAAACCCCCAAATAGGTGTCCGGGTATCGGTGTGCTGCAAGCGCTTAACGGCCCGACTGCTAGAGCCTGACGACCTGAACCTCCCTTAGGGCTTAGGGGTGTAGGGGTTTAGGGCTTTGGGGTTTAGGGGTCTGGGGGTTTAGGGCTTGGGAGTTTAGGGGCTGAGGACTTAGGGGTTTAGGGTTTAGGGTGTTAGAGCTTAGGGGCTTTGGGGTTTAGGGGTTTAGGGGTTTAGAGCTTAGGGGTTTAAAGTTTAGGGGCTCAGGGCTTGGGGGTTTAGGGGTTTAGGACTTAGGGGTTTAGAGTTTAGGGGTTTAGGGCTTAGGGCAGCTACACCCCGTCCCCCAACCTTTATCCTAGTAGACGAGTAGGCAATTTTTGAAAACCGCGTTGGGGGAACTACAATTTCCGTATTCCCCTTGAGTTGTTCCAGGGAGCTGGAAACCCTAAACCCCTAAACCCAAAGCCCTAAACCACTAAACCCCTAAACCGCCTAAACCGCCCAAACTCTAAACCCTAAACCCGAACTGGACAAGTCAGCTATCCTGCAGCCAGGGAGTCGAATCCTAGTAGTTAGCACATCCTCGAAATATGCACCTGGTTTAGGGTTTAGGCCTTTAGGGTTCAGGGGTTCAGGGGTTTAAGGTTTAAGGTTTCGGGTTTAGGGCCTTTAGGGTTTAGGGTTTGGGGTTCAGGGGTCGCAGACTAAGAGCGTTAGCCCTGAAGCACGGTTTAGTCTTTATAGGGTTTAGGGTTTTGGCCCCTCTAGGGTTTAGCCCTAAGGGTCCAAGTACCCAATAATCATATACTCTCCCAAATAGTAACCTACATAACTACTATCCGAAACCTAAGTACCTAATTATTGGGTCCTTTGGACCCTTGGGGTAGGGTTTAGGGTTTAGGGTTTTATGTAGAATCCCATAAGGTAATCCCAAAAAGGAAACTACTTAGGGGCCTTCAGGGTTCAGGGTTTCCACCCCGAAGCCCACCGCAAACACCGGCAGCCTGGGAAGTTCGAACTCCAAAACTTACCTTTGGTTAGTAGGGAATGGAGGAATGGGAACTATTATAAGTACCATTACTACCATTCTTCCATTCCCTACTAACCAAAGGTAGGAAAATCCCAAGAGCCAGCGCAAAAGTTGTTCCATGATCATGGCCTCTAGGGTTTGGGGTTTAGGGTTTAGGGCCTCTAGGGTTTGGGGTTTAGGGTTTAGGGTTTAGGGCCTCTAGGGCCTCTAGGGCCTCTAGGGTTTGGGGTTTAGGGCTTAGGGCCTCTAGGGTTTGGGGTTAAGGGTTTAGGGTTTAGGGCTTAGGGTTTAGGCTTTGGCTTTCATGGATCATGGGACTTAGGAACTTAGGGTTAATACTGGGGTGAAGAGTCCTAAAGAAGCCCGGGGGACGTAAACGATAAACCTCAATCACAGGGATAAGTGGGTTGTTCTCTAAATTAGCGTCCCCCTTTTTAGGTCCCCAAGAAAGTACGGCACCCTTATAGAAAGAACCCCCCCAAAAGGGACCCTCATCTGGAAAACTGCCCAAGTGAGGCCCTTTTTGAAGATCAGTAAACCCTTAACCTAAACCCTAACCCCTAAACCCCTAAAGCCCTAAACCCTAAACCCCTAAACCCTAAACTCTCTTATTTTGTAGACCCCTTGTAGGAGCCCCGTCGATCCTCTAGTGGAGCCCTACCTTAACCTACCAGAACCTACTTCTACAAAATCCATGCTGGGGTTTAGGGTTTAGGGTTTAGGTCTATAATAAAAGCCTGCAACAAACGTAGGTTTTGGTAGATTAAGGAATCAAGACCCTTCAAAAAGCTATATAAGCCCCCAAGTTGCTGCCCAAGAAGCCGAGGCCAACCCACGCCTATGCCCGCTTTCGCCCAAGCAGCGGCGCAGAAGCGGCTTAGTAGCTGAATGACTACGCTTTATAAACTTTTTTGGGATAATCTACCCTAAACCCTAAACCCTTATAATGAAACTGAAAGTGTACACTTTTTTATGCTTACGAGCTCTGCAACGAAGGCGGGGCAGCCGCCGTCAGAAGTTTCTGGGCCCCAGCTTCATGCAGTCCAAGGTGGGGTTACGGGGATTTTAAGAGTCTCCAAAACCCTAGATCCTCTTTTACCCTGAATCCAAAACCCAAAACCCTAAATAATTCCTAAACCCTAAATCCTAAGCCCGAAACCCCATAAATCCTAAACCCTACAAATCCTAAACCCTAATTCCTAATCCTAAAGCCTTAAAGTTGGGAGGGTCTAAGGTTTCCCCGGGCTTGGGGTTTGCGCGGATTCCAAGATTCTCAGACGGGGTTTAGGGTTTAGGCTTTAGGGGTTAGGGGTTTAGGGGTTAGGGTTTAGGGGTGTTGGAGGGTGTCGGTTTAGGACCTTAGAGCATCCGAAACGAACCTTCCAGCTTAACTCCAGAAGGGTGTTCTCCTCTCGGGTCGAAACAGCTCAAGATTAAAATGGCTTCCGTAATATTCACCTATGCTAGTTTAAAAGTTTTGGTTCCTTATGACAATTAAATTAAAGTATATTGCATTAAGGCCCCTATATTAAGCTTGATGAGGATTCGAGCCGTTAGTCGGGTTTCGTCTTTGGGGTCTAGGGTTGAGGGCACGGTTTAAGATTTAGGGTCTGGGGGAGCCCACGAGAGGAAGAGAAGTCCCAGCCTAAACGGGCTAAGCACACATTGGCAGCGCAAGGCAGGCAATAAAAGGGCCTTAATGGACCCCCCCCAAAAAAAAACAAGTACGGTTGATGATATAAATCCTGCATGACCCATAATAAGGAATATACCACAATTCCCATAGGTTAGGGTCCTTAAGGCAATGCAGGATAGCTATCATCAACCGTATAACTTTGCTCATAACCTTCCTTGCTAAGTCCCTCGGGCCTTTAAGCACGGGATCAGGGTTTAAAACCCTAAATCCCAAACCCAATAAAACCCTAAACCCTAAATCCTAAACCTAATAAAACCCTATAAACCCTAAATCCTAAACCTAATTTGAAAGATCCAGGAGTTCGTGGTCTAAGCGTACATGGCTGAGGGGCGTTTTTTTAGGCGGCTTGGGGTTTAGGGTTTAGGGTTTAGGGGTTTAGGGTTGTGATTAGCTACCAGCTATGGAAAAGGCGGGGATCGTGATGTAGACCCTGATTACTGGAAGACTGCACCTCTTCTTCTTATGGACGCTCTGCTCCTCAACTCCGTTTAGACTGGTGTAAACACCCTGCATTGAGCTCTTGATTGGACTTGTATCAACTTCCAAACACCAAGATCCCCTCTGTCCCAGACCTGACTAAGTACCTCAATGCCCAAAAGTCGTGACTAACTGCATGGGTTTAGGGTGCGGGGCAAAACCTTGAACTAAAGATCCTGCGTTCTGGAACTCCCCAACACACTAAACCCGTCCAGAACCCTTTGATAGGACCCTTCTATGTAAGACTGTTGTGGAACTTACTGCTCCCACATATATAGTATATATATATATATATGTAACATGGACTGCTGCTATTATGGGTACCCCCGCAAAGGCTACTTCGGGCATCCCACCTGCTAAGGCGAAAGGGCCCAGCTTCGGGGCCCACGCCAGCCCTGGGAACTACGGGCCTGCGCAGTGTCTCTTTCATCAGCCAGTCACCTCCGACTCGTGGCCGTGGTCTTTGCTGGGCGCCCACCCAGGGGGTGGGGGCGTCCACGTATATTTTCCACCTTATGTAGCTACGCCAGCTCTCCACCACGTGGCATCTTATGAGTATATACCCTCACCTTACATGCCAAAGCGGTCCCGCCCAAGTCCATGCCGCAGCGACCACCACGACGAGCCGAGTGAACAGTGTCTTTTTAGACATCCGCCTGTGCATAGGGACCTTTCAAGAGCATTGAGATCTGCTACAGCCTACCTCGACGACTTTAAAAACATTCAATGGCTAGTTCTCTAAATTAGGGTCCCCCTTTCAGGTCCCCAAATATAGTACGGCACCCTTAGTAAAAAAGGACCCTAAAAAGGACCCACAATTGAGAGAACTGCCCAAATTCCCTACATTCATTCTAGAGCCCCGCATCCTAAACCCTCAAATCTCTCCCTTGCAACCCTTAAAGTCACCCAGAATACCCTTCCGATCTGGAACTCTAATAGATCTGAAACCCTAATAGTAAGGAACCCAGAATATCCTCTCTGCAGCCCTAATCCTCGAGGGTCCAAAGTACCAGCACAGTACATGTAGGGTTTAGGATGTAGGGTTTCTAGATTATTATGAATCATAATTAATATGCTCTGGAAAAGTATCCCCCGTCCCCATAACTGTAAAACCCGAAATCCTAAACCCTAAAGCCCTCAACCCTAAACCACAATACCTAGGACCCTTTAATAATCAGCAAGCCTTCGGGAAAGTATCCCCCATAACCCAAAAACCCTAAACCACAATTACCCTAAACCCTAAACCCTGGTCACAATACCTAGGACCCTTTAATAATCAGCTAGCCTTCGGGTGTTTGAGCCTTCAAGACCGCGAGGCGAAATCTTGGAAAGGAGCCTTCCAGCCTCCCCTGGAGAAATGGGAGCTTTAAGCCTGAGGCGGGGGGTTATCTGGGTTCTCTTTAGGGTTTAGGGTTTAGAGTGTAGGGTTTAGGGTAGGGTTTTCCTGGTGAATCCCAAAAGTATGTAGAATAATAGCCGTTTATAGGTGTCGGGCCATTATTTTACCTACCCTACTTTTGGGGGTTTAGGTAGGGTTAGAGTTTAGGGTCTGTTACCATACGAGAGATCTATAGTAAATAATGTTGTTTCCAATTATAGGAACTTAAATTTAACAACCCAGTTGTGGGTTAAGGGTTTTAGGGCTCAGGGGTTTAGGGGCTTTAGGATTTAGAAGGGCTTCGGGTTAGGGATCAGGGCCTCTGCGCTTAGGGCTTTGGATTTATAAGGGCCCAGGGTTCGGAGTGCCAACCCAAAATCCTAAAACCCTGGCCCTCTTCTGATACTCTTCCTTTAACTCCCAGAGACTACAATATCCCTTAATTAATGAATATACCTTCAATCTTATTAGGGCTCCTATTATAGTTTAAGGTATATTCCTTAATTATGTAAGGGATCTTGGAGTCTCTTAATTCCCGTGTTGGTGCCCTTCTCGAGCCCTTCTAGAACCTTTGCAGTACACTGTTTAGTTTAGGGGCGGCCGAAATTATAGTTTAAGGTATATAGTCCTTAACTAAGGGATACCGGAGTCTCTTAATTGGCTGAGCTGAATCGCAACAGGGCGCTGTTAACATGAGACCTGGGGTTCGCGCGGGGAGGAGCCGGCGACTAGCGGGTATTTATGAGAGAGGTTCAGAGGAAGGCTTAAGGCTTAGTGTTCTGGTTTTGGGGGTGAGCCTAAGCCTTGAACCCGAAACCCCCTAACTCCCCTAAACCCTGAACATTAAACCCAGACCCTCAGACCCCCCAAACCTTGAACCCCAAACATTGACCCTCCTCCGAGACGGGCGTCAGGGGTGAGGCTGCAGGCTGTTGGTTGCTTGCCCAGGCGCTTTTGTTGTTGTTGTTGTTGTCAAGATATAACACTTCTGGCACACTTCCCTGGTACAGTCTTGCAGCTGTGACCTGCACTTCCACACTTCGCGTGTGGCTCAAGACGCA